TTTCTTGCGTTATGCGGGCCTCTCACTGCTGTGGCCTCTCCCATTTGCGGAGCACAGGCTCCGGACGCGCAGGCCCAGCGGCCACGGCTCACGGGCCCAGCCGCCCCGCGGCACGTGGGATCCTCCCGAAACGGGGCACGAACCCGCGCCCCCTGCATCGGCAGGCGGACCCCCAAGCACTGCGCCACCAGGGAAGCCCTGCATGGAATATCTTTTTCCATCCTCTCACTTTCAGCCTATATGTGTCCCTAGGTCTGAAGTGGCTGTCTTGTAGACAGCCTACATATGGGTCTTGTTTTTGTATCCATTCAGTCAGACTGTGTCTTTTGGTTGGAGCATTTAATCCATTTACATTTAAGGTAATTATCAATATGTATGTTCCTATTCCCATTTTCTTAATTGTTTTGGGTTTGTTTTTGTAGGTCTTTTCCTTCTCTTGTGTTTCCTGCCTAGAGCAGTTCTTGTAGCATTTGTTGTAAAGTTGGGTTGGTAGTGCTGAATTCTCTTAGCTTTTGCTTGTCTGTAAAGTTTTTAATTTCTCCATCGAATCTGAATGAGATTCTTGCTGGGTAGAGTAATCTTGGTTGTAGATTTCTCCCTTTCATCGCTTTAAGTATGTCCTGCCACTCCCTTCTGGCTTGCAGAGTTTCTGATGACAGATCAGCTGTTAACCTTATGGGGATTCCCTTGTATGTTATTTGTTGCTTTTGCCTTGTTGCTTTTAATATGTTGTCTTTGTAGTTAATTTTTGATAGTTTGATTAATATGTGTCTTGGCATGTTTCTCCTTGCATTTATCCTGTATGGGACTCTCTGTGCCTCCTGGACTTGATTGACTATTTCTTTTCCCATATTAGGTAAGTTTTCAACTATAATCTCTTCAAATATTTTCTCAGTCCCTTTCTTTTTCTCTTCTTCTGAGACCCCTGTAATCAAATGTTGGTGCATTTAATGTTGTCCCAGAGGCCTCTGAGACTGTCCTCAATTCTTTTCATTCTTTTTTCTTTATTCTGCTCTGTGGTAGTTATTTCCACTAGTTTATCTTCCAAGTCACTTACCTGTTTGTCAGTTATTCTGCTACTGATTCCTTCTAGAGAATTTTTAATTTCATTTATTGTGTTGTTCATCATTGTTCATTTGCTCTTTAGTTCTTCTAGTACCTTGTTAAGCATTTCTTGTATTTTTTCCATTCTATTTCCAAGATTTTAGATCATCTTTACTATCATTACTCTGAGTTCTTTTTCAGGTAGACTGCCTATTTCCTCTTCATTTGTTAGGTCTGGTGGGTTTTTACCTTGCTTCTTCATCTGGTGTGTGTTTCTCTGTCTTCTCACTTTGCTTAACTTACTGTGTTTGGGGTCTCCTTTTTGTAGGCTGCAGGTTTGTAGTTCCTGTTTTTTTTGGTGTCTGCCCCCAGTGGGTAAGCTTGTTTCAGTGGCTTGTGTAGGCTTCCTGGTGGAGGAGACTGGTGCCTGTGTTCTGATGGGTGGGGCTGGATGTAGTCTTTCTGCTGGGCAGGGCGGCATGCAGTGGTGTGTTTTGGGGTGTCTTTGAACTTAGTATGATTTTAGGCAACCTCTCTGCTAATGCCTGGTGTTGTGTTCATTTCTTCCTAGTTGTTTCGGCATGCGGTGTCCAGCACTGGAGCTAGCTGGCCGTTCGGTGGAGCTGGGTCTTAGCATTGAGATGGAGATCTCTGGGAGAGCTCTCTCCGATTGATATTACGTGGAGCCTAGAGGTCTCTGGTAGTCCAGTGTCCTGAACTCGGCTCTCCCACCTCAGAGGCTCAGACCTGACACCAGGCACGAGCACCAAGACCCTGTCAGCCACACAGCTCAGTAGAAAAGGGAGAAAAAAAGAAAGAAAAAATAAAATAATTATTAAAATTTAAGAAATATTTAAAGTAATAAGAAAAAAGAAGAGATCAACCAAACTAATAAATCTATGAATGATAACAAGTGCTAAAACCTATACTAAGATAAACATAAAAATCAGAAACAAGTCAATTGCAGACAGCAAATCCCAAGTCTACAGTTCTCCCAAAGTCCACCACCTCAGATTTGGGTTGATTCCTTGTCTTTTCAGGTATTCCACAGATGCAGGGTACCTCAAGTTGATTATGGGAGTTTAATCTGCTGCTCCTGAGTCTGCAAGGAGAAAATTCTCTTTCTCTTCTTTCTTTGTACAGCTCCTGTGGTTCAGCTTTGGTTTTGGCCTCACGGCTTTGCGTAGGTTGCCCTCAGGCTTCTGTTCCCACCCAAACAGGATCGGGTTAAAGCATCAGCTGATTAGGGGCCTCTGGCTCACTCAGGCCAGAGGGAAGGAGGGGTAAGGTAGTTATAATTGGAATGCCAGATGAGCCTGCTGCAGCAGAGGCCAGAGTGAGTTTGCAACAGCCTGAGGCGTGCCTTGTGTTCTGCTGCGGGGGTTGTCCCTGGATCACAGGACCCTGGCAGTGGTGGGCTGCACAGGCTCACGGGGCATTGCGGCAGCGTGTGGATAGTGACCTGTGCTTGCACACAGGATTCTTGGTGGCTGCAGCAGCATTGTTAGCATTTCGTGCTCATCTCTTGTGTCTGAGCTGGTAGCCGGAGCTCATGCCCATCTCTGGAGCTAGTTTAAGCGGTGCTCTGCTTCCTGTGGGCAGACAGGGAAGGAATCCCCTTTCCTCGCGCTCCCCGAAACAATGGTCTCTTGCCTCTTAGGCAGGTCCAGAGTTTTTCCTGGACTCCTTCCCGGCTAGCTGTGGTGCACTAGCCCCCTTCAGGCTGTGTTCATGCAGCCAACCCCAGTCCTCTCCCTGAGCCCGAGCCTCAGGTCCCAGACCCCACCTGCCCTGGCTGGTGAGCAGACAAGCCTCTTGGGCTGGTGAATGCTGGTCGGCACCGATCCTCTGTGCGGGAAACTCTCCACTTTGCCCTCTGCACCCCTGTTGCTGCGCTCTCCTCTGTGGCTCTGAAGCTTCCCTCCCGCCCACTCCCCATCTCCACCAGTGAAGGGGCTTCTTAGTGTGTGGAAGCTTTTCCTCCTTCACAGCTCCCTCCCAGAGGTGCAGGTCCCATCCCTCTTCTTTTGTCTGTTTTTTCTTTTTTCTTTAGCCCTACCCAGGTACGTGGGGATTTTCTTGCCTTTTGGGAGATCTGAGGTCTTCCGCCAGCATTCAGAGGTGTTCTGTAGGAGCTGTTCCACATGTAGATGTATTTCTGATGTATTTTTGGGGAGGAAGGTGATCTCCGCATCTTACTGCCATCTTGAAGGTCCCACCCCGAAAGTAATGGTTTTGATTGATTATTTAAATTTCTTTTTTTTGTAGTTAAGCTGTTTTTTTTTCTTTTTCCCCCTTATTTAAGATGTAATATTTATATTTTTAATATTTATCGAGTTATAGGTACTTAAAGGTATCTCAGTATAGGAATTAGTGAAATCTGTTGCATTTATCCATTTGGTTAAATTCAAAACATGCTACATAATACTGTTGAAATTGTTTTTGTCTCTGTGAAGTTGGTTATGAGATATATTGAAAGATTAAATCAGTCTCACATGCATGCTAGCAATAACCATCATTCTCACTTCTTGAGAAAGACGTATCATATAAATCTAGATAGCTAGGATTACAGAGACCGTATAATTTGACTCTTTGGGTGGACATGCATAGCCGGTCTTTTTCTTTTTCAGTTTATGAGGAGGTCCAGCAGGCTGGTTTCTTCTTAATAACCACCTGGCCTTATGTAAAGCTATAGTCTTTTATCCAAAACCCTTTGGGCCTCGTGTGTTGTTATTTGAATTTAAAAAAATATATTTTAGAATGTAATACAGTATATATGCTAGCTGATATTTTATATATGATGTAACGTTCTTAACAGGGTCTGAAGAGTCACTCTATAATTAAACATATTAATATTTCTGCAGTGAGATGTATGAATATTCACATTAACTGGGACAAGCGGATGGAAGAGCCTTGTATCAGTTTGGGTCAGTTATGAAAAAACTTTGGATTCCAGAATTTTTTGAATTTTGAATTTCAGATAATCAGTGGTGAACCTATAATAAAGTGTGTTATGTATTATAATATTAATAGGTATAATGCTTTTTACAAATATTTTTAAATATAAAAAAATTATATGTCTTTATTTAGTGTTTATCAGTTTTTCCACTATTTCACCTTTTATTTCATTCTCTAAAATATTTTCTTTGTACAGCTGTTGTATTCTCGAGGATTGCTAATTGATCTTCTAATCAAATCTAATGTTAGTCGATATGCAGAGTTCAAAAATATTACCAGGATTCTTGCATTTCGAGAAGGAAGAGTGGAACAGGTACTGTGTTGAGCAAGTATTGTAACTGGGTATGATTTTGAGTTACTGTGTTTTATTTGGGAAGGATAAACAAATATGGTTGTTATTTTCCTGGTAAAGCAGCAAAATCCAATCCTGCATGGTGATTAACAACTGTAAATAGTAAGAGATTGCCAATTAAAATGTCTAATGTTAATTTTCTCATGATTTATTCTGCAGCTTGACGTTCGTGTTGAGAAAGTGTTAATTTCAGACAGCGTTGCTAGATTTGAGCTGTCATTTGTTCCCAGTTAGGGGTGACATGCTGGTGGCCTTCTAATGGCCTAAAGAGCAACTTGGCAGGATTAAGAGAGCTCACAAGTTAATTAGCTCTGAAGTCAACAGCGATGCCATAAGAACTGATGGAAAGTCACATGAAACAGCCTGATTAGAAAGGAAATAATAATCTTGTCATACTTACAGGGAAAGAAAATGTCATTTGGAATACGTGTATCACTAGGAAGCAGTTTCTTAACTTTTAAAATCATGTTTTTCAGGTTCCTTGCTCCAGAGCAGATGTCTTTAATAGCAAACAACTTACTATGGTAGAAAAGCGAATGCTAATGAAGTTTCTTACATTTTGTATGGAGTATGAGGAACATCCTGATGAATATAAAGGTATTTTTTTCATTAAATTTGTTTTCTTACATTATTTGAGAGTTCTTATTATTTTAATATGCTTGCTCTGATTTAATGAGCCACTCACTATGCTTTTAAAATACTTTTACTTTGCACTGTCCAATAGGTTAGCCTCTAGCAAAATGTAGCTATTTAAATTTAAATTAATTAAAATAAAATAAAATTTAAAATTTGTTCCTCAGTCTCACTAGCCACACTTCAAGTGCTCAGTGGCCACACGTGGCTAGTGGCTACTATGGCTACAGTGCAGCTGTAGAACTTTTTCATCATGACAGAAATTCTGTGCTGGGTGTTCATTTTTATTCTTGTTAATTAAACACTGTGGTCAACTGGTTCTTCATAGATGATACTCCCTTTTCATTATCCATTAATTTTTTAATCTTTTTTTTTTAATTTAAGTATAGTTAATTTACAATGTTATGTTAGTTTCAAGAGTACAGCAAAGTGATTCAGTTATATTTATATTATATATATATTCTTTTTCATATTCTTTTCTGTTATAGTTTATTGCAAGATATTGAATATATTTCCCTGTGCTATACAGTAGGTCCTTGTTGTTTATCTGTTTTACATATAGCAGTGCATATATGTTACTCTCCCACATCCCCATCCATTAATTTTTTTATCAGTCATTAAAAAATCTGTATGTTTTTTCATTTTTCCAGGATCGCTTTTGCTTGGAATGTTGAATTATTTATTTTGATTGATTAAAAACAAGCTAGATAGTATGGGGGTGGGAAACCCCTGGATTAGGCGAAGATATGGATGGTTTCTAGTCTTGGCTTTGACCCATCTCACTGTGTGATCTGGGACCAGTTACTTCAGAGTATTTTGAAAGTTGAATACACCACTTTAATATCAGAGCTTTACACTTAAAGTGCATTGAGCTGGAAGAGTTATCCAAAATAGGAATATACTGACAATTCACTTATAAAGTTACAATGAGAAATACAGCAGTTTTTTTTTTATGTTAGATGGAATATTAAAAGTCTAGCACTTGTTCTTAAAGTTTCAAGTCCATTAGATACTGCCAGATTGTTCTCCACAGTAGTATAAACTTATATTCTCTTAGGAAATTTTTATAATTTTTGTTTATATTATTTCTATAAAGTTTTTGTCTACCACTAACAGTCCAATTACATTTTTTCTGTTCTTGGCTTAAAGTAATAGTATTTAGGGGATCCTTATGTTTTGAGGTGTGATTATAAGGCAGTAAGACTGATTCCACTAGCCATACAGAAATTATTTTCATTACCTTTTAGGCATAGTTCATTGTTCGTAGTTTTAGGAAGAAATAACAATTCAAAAAAAACAAGTATTACTCTATCGTTTTCACCAAAAAAATTGCCATTTGTCATATTTAATATTTCAAAGTATAATTATTGGCATTATTCTGCAGTTTTAATAATAAAGTAAGATTATTGCCAACTGTGGAAACCTGTTGTGATAATTAATGAATTATTTAATACTTTTCTAATTTTTTAAATCCATAAAATACTAAACAAAGAATCATCATTTAAAGCTTAAAAATTGTATCATCAGTCCAATTAGGACAGTGAGATTGTTTCTAGTTTTTTTTTGTCCCCCCACAATCAATGGTCTCTGTCTAAAATGTAATAATATTACCACCTGTGTCCTTTGCCAAGTGTTTTAAACAGACCTGATCTCATTTTTTTGCAATGGTTTTAAATGGAAATTTGGGTTTGATTTTAATTGATAAGTTTTCATCTTTCTTTTCATAGCCTATGAGGAAATTACATTTTCTGAATATTTAAAAACTCAGAAATTGACCCCCAACCTCCAATATTTTGTCCTACATTCAATTGCAATGACATCAGAGACAGCCAGCAGTACTATAGATGGTCTCAGAGCTACCAAAAACTTTCTTCACTGTCTTGGGCGGTATGGCAACACTCCATTTTTGTTTCCTTTATATGGCCAAGGAGAACTCCCTCAGTGTTTCTGCAGGTAAGACAGGCATTGGTTTTCTTATCTCTTTTAAACTGATACTTGAATAACAGATGAAAAATAGACAAAAATGAGATTTAGTCAAGATTTAGTATATGCAAACATATACTTTGTTGTTCTACTCTTTTATAATCTGTTTGCCTGCCTACCTACTTACCTCAATGATACAATCAGTCTGGCCTGTTTTTGAACTTTATAAAATAGAGTCATACTGTAAATTCCATTTTCCACTCAGCATTATGTTTCAAAGCATCATCCTTGTTGTGTGTGGTTATAGTTAAACTTATTTTCATTGCTACATAGTATTCCATTTTGAATATACCACAAGTTATTATTCCATTTTTCTGTTGATGGACACAGGATTTTTCCAGTTTTTTGTTGTTATTAACATCCTGTGTATGTTTCAGAGTATACAAGTTCAAGATTTTCTCTAGTATACATATCTAGGAGTGGAATTACTGAGTCATGGGATATATAAAGGTTCATACAAGATAGTGCCCAGTTGTTTCTCCAGAGAGTTGTACCAGTTTACCTCCCCCAGCAGTATAGTATATAAGAATTCTCATAGCTCTGCATCTTTGCCAACATTTGGTGTTATCAGACTTTTTAATTTTTGTCAGTCTAATTCACATAAAGTATCATCACATTGTATTTTTATTTTACATTTCCTGGATTACTAATGAGGTTGAGCGTCTTCTCATGTGATTATTGGCTATTCATGTTTTCTCTTTTGGGAAATGCTTGTTCATGTCTTTTACCCATTTGTCTCTTGGGTTGTTGTCTTTTTCTTATTGATTTGTAGTTGTTTTTATATATTCTGAATACTGATCTTTTCTCAGTTAAATGTGTTGCATGTATCTTGCCTTATGGTATTTATGATGCATGGAGGTCATTAAGATTAATGTAGTCAAATATAGCAATCTTTTCTTTTATACTTAGAACTTTTGGGGGTAGTAGAGCATAGTAGTTAAGAACCTGGACTATGGAAACAGACTGCCTAGATTTAAATCCTGGCTCCTCTATAAGCCATGTAACCTTGGACAAGTTTCTCAATCTCTTTATTATGTTTTGAAAGAATCAACTTCTGGGTTTTTTGATTCTCTGTGTCCTAGTTCATTAATTTCTGGTCTTTATTATCCTTTATTTTGCTTTCTTTGGGTTTTGTTCAACTCATCCCTCCCCTGCCCTGCCCTTGCAGATTCTTAGGCTGAAACCTAATGAGTTAAATAGTCACCTTTTTAATTTTCTAATATAAGCATTAATATGATAAAGTTCTAACTATTGTTTTGAATCTTACACAGTTATTATATATTATTTTCATTATCTTTTAATCCTAATTATCTTAATTTCCATTGTGATTTCTTCATTGACCCATGAGTTATGTATTTTAAAATAGCTAATCTGGATGATTCTTCTGCTCTTACCATCTCATTTAATTCTACTGTGTATAGAAAATATGTTTTTATGGTACTAATTCTTTGAACTTTATGACTTAGTATGTCATCAATTTTTATAATTTTTCCACATGTGCTCAAGAAGAATATGTTTATCTAGTTGTTGGTTACAGGGCTCTCTAATTATTGCTCTTGAAGTCTGATAAGTCAAGCTTCGAGTTGTCATTTTCAAACTTTATTTTTATTGAAGTGTTTTTTCTTTGATCTGTCAATGATAGAGTGACATGTTTTGAAATCTCCCATTATGATTTTTGATTTGTCAGTTTCTCCCTATAATTTTTACCTTATATTTATTTTGAGGCAATTTATTAAGATCATATAAATTTATAATTGTTTAATCTTCCTGATGAATTTAATGTTTCACATAGTCTGCTGACTTTCTCCATCCCTAATAATACATTTTTTTCTTAAAGTCTAGTTTATCTAATATCAAAGAGCTACTCCAACTTTTTAATATTTGCCTGTTATATCTTTCTCCATCCCTTTATTTTTCAACTATATTTAGAGCTCTAAATAGCATATTATTACATATTTTTAATTCCATCTGACAATTTCTATCTTTTACCAAGTAGTGTAAGTGCAGTTAACAGGAGTCTGTTCCTTCCTTCAGAAGTATATAATTTTAAAAGTTCCTCTAGTTTATGCTCTGGGCAGTTAATGCTTTCTAGTTTGTGTGCATATGAAAATAACTTTTTTTTTGCCTTTTTTCTTGAGTGAATATTTGTTAGGTAAACATTTCTATGTTGGCAGTTCTTTTCTCTCAGTACGTTAAAATTTTATTCCACTGTCATTTGGGTTCCATTTTTGTTGTTGAGATGTTTGATGTCAGCCTATAAGTGATAGCTCTTTTTTCTCAGGCTGTTTTTAAGATATTTTGTCTGCAGTGTTCTGCATTTTCACTACAGTGAATTTAGGTATCGGTTTCTTTGTATTTATCTAGCTTGATATAGGTCAAACCATATGAAATTAACAATATTAAAACATTTTGACCTACAATTCCATATGGTTCAAACAACTACATTGCAAGTTCCTCTATCTTTGAATTGTCATTTATTATTTTAGAAAATTATCAGTCAATATCTTGCAAATGTTGTTTTCATCCATTGTCTCTTATTTTCACCTTTTTGGAACCACAAATAGGTATGTTTTAGAACTTAGCATTCTCTCTTCCATGTTTTTTAATCTCTCTTTCATATTTTCTATTTCCTTGTCCTTCCTGCTACATTCTGGGTACCTAATAAAGGTCTGTTTTCCAGTTTATTCTCTTCACCTGTAACTAATCTGCAGTATAACCCTTTTTTTTTACTCCAATATTTTTATCATTCATTTTTAGAAGTTCTGCTTTTTCCCCCAAAATCTTCCTTGTCATTGTTTGCTAGTCTCTTTTGCTTGGTCACTTCTTTCATATACAGATATTTTATATTCTGCCATGTGTTGTTTCTGTTGATTTACGTTAATGATTTATTTCCTTGTGCCATGCTTATTTTTGACTGAGAGTTTGTATTTGATTGATTTTAATCTGTGGAAATCTGGGGGCCCAAATTAAGAATGCTTTCCTTCAAAAATTATTTGTGTTTTCCTTCAGCCGGAAGGCACTAAGACTTGGGACCATTCTAACTCCCTTCAGGGGGTCCTTGCTTAATAAAGGAACCCCAGATACAGCTCCGACACTGATACGGGCAACAGGACTTGTTTGTTTGTTTGTTTTTTTAATTGCAGTGTTTGTTGCTCAAAGCTTTGAGTTCAGCTCAGGGTTTTTACTGTGCATATGTGTGTTTGGGGTTGTGGATTTCCTATGGACATTTCTCTTATTTCCTTCACTCTCAGCAGTGCAATAAAAATTATGTTTAATGTAAGAAATAGTCTTTTGTTAGTAATAGGAGGTCCCTTCACAGTATCTAGTTCAATATGTGATTTTATGAATGATGGTAAGAATGTTATAAATTTGAAAGTAACTTAATTCTGAAAAATAGGTCTGTATAATTCCAGACAAGTTCTTCCTCCTCCACCTGTTGTCAAAGTAGGGATGAATGGGCAGTGTCATATCCCCCAGGACCAGAGGTCCTCCTATCAATTGAAACTAATAGGGGAGTTCTATGGGTTTCTTAATCATTCTTTTCCTCTTCCTGTGGCTTTGCCCGATTCAGAGGGAGCTACACTACTTTCTCTCATGTTCGCACTTGCCACTTACTCCTACAGAACTTTAGGGTAAGGAATAGGGACAAAATCAACAGGTCACTGGGGAGTGAGCAGAAGCTCACTGGCTTCCTTACCAGCACTTTATGAAAATGGAATATTTAACCTCATTCTTATTTTTTCACAAAATCCATTTATTTCCTTTCCTAATTCATATATTTATAAATATATATTTAATGTTTGTTTATTTGTTGTTTTTAAGGGAAACAACATTTAAAAGTTTCATTTGTCCTGTACTGATAAAAAATTTGAATGACACCCTTATGTGTTGAATTGTAGACAAAGGAAATATTTTTCACCAAAGATGATTGTAACCTTCTTAAGGCTGAGGTTTTATCAGCCTTCTGTACCTTTTTATCCTCTGCAAGCCTATCTCAGAATTTTGTGTGTGGTTCATATTTAATGTTGGTTATAAAAATTATATCTCGCTCTCTCCAATTTGAAGTGAATTGAAATTTCAGGGAATGATATAATTAAATATATATGTATTTGTGTAGATAGATAGATATTAAAGACAACAGCAAAAGACTGTTATATTTGAAGTAGTATATTAAACTTTTGGGTGGTTCTTTGGTAATTAAGGCAACTCTGAGTTCTTCCTACATATTATATATATGAATCTGTGTGTTTATAAATTACAATAAAATGCATTTACTTGGCCTAGGGATATTAACTTTTAATTTTATATTTGATTCCCTTCCCTGCTTTATAATTTCATATAAATATTGTTCTGTTTATATCCTAAAATACTAACACTACCACCATCTATACATCATAGTCTACACTTTTTATCACCAGGTTATCAGAATTAGGTATCACCTGTTCTGTGATTTCTAACCACCCTTTTATATTCTGTTTTAATATGACCCTCTTAAGCACTTCTCACAGCCAGTTACAGTGTGTTCTCATGAAGGCTACTGTTATAAATGGCATGCATGCATATTTATGTGAAGGATTCAGAGACTTTTGTAAGTCATATCCTTGCATTCTAAATGAATTCTGCATAAACAGTATAACATTTTAACTACTGGAGATAACTTTCATGAATGACCACCCTTTGAGGTTTTTATCAATTTTAAATAGGTAGGGTTTTTTTTCAGCAAAGAAAATGAAGCTTATTTATTGTACTACCTATTACCCATTGATATGTCAAGATACATAAATTGGACCATACGGGAAGAAAGTCATTGAAACCTATATATTTTTCTAGTCTAGCAAGCCATAGAATTTCCCCTACTGTATATTTGTTGGTTAATATTTTTTCTGGCACACTGGACAGGATATGTATGCAGTATATAGGTTTTTAAACTCTCACACTATACTTTCCAAACAGAAGTCCTTTTTAAGCCC